TTGTGTGACTTAAATCCCAAAAAATGTACTATCATTAACTTAAAACACATAGTGTAAGGGTTAAGGTTCGTATAGAAAAAAACGGACAACACCCATAGTGACCTGTCAATCACAAGAAAGCCGCACAATAATGCTGCTTTATCGTCTTTTTACTCAAAATCGGACCATCATTTACAAAATGAACATCATGCTGTATTGAAGCCGACATTTAACTACCGATTCAAACCATATACTCATTAAGATAATTTCTACGGGGGTCTTTTTGTTATAGACCTTTAGACAATCTCAGTTCTTTCTTACATAAGTCGCCCGTTCTGCCCTTTAGGAGGAAGGTTCACCACACTTTTGCAATAGAGTGGCGAAGTCATGCCCATCTACTTCCGCCCCATGGGACCTTATTTCTGAAATATTATGTATTGAAGTCAATGGGGAGAGAAAGATTATCTTTCGATCCCGTTTGAATTGTACCAAGAATTACACATATGATGTTTGTCAATCTTAAAAAATCATTTCCATGTCAAAAAAGTCACAGTTTGTCTTAAAACTGTTGAAATATAAGACTATGAAAAATACGGAACTAGAAAGACTACAAATCCCAGAGTCGCATAGGTGAATTTAGCTAGCTGACATTAACGTTACACATTACACTTGTGTTACTCACCGACACCTTGTAAAGCCGGTCCTGCATGCTGGAACCGACTAACTCCCCTTTTCAGTATGTACAGTTCTCAACATGGGCAGACTTTTAGTGGTTTTCACCTCTTTTAATACTTGTCGCTTCATTCTGAAAGAAAGAGGTGAAACGTGACGGCCACCTTCGTGTTGGCGACGTATGCAAGACCAGAGTTGTAGTTCATTGAGCGCTTCACACAAAAAAATGTGTTACTTCACAGTTTTACGGCACATTTTTTTTTTTTTGACTTGCAAAATTATCTTTTAAATTGACAAACATCATATGTGTAATTCATTGCACAATTCAAACGGGATCAAAAGATAATCTTTCTCTCTCCATTGACTTCAATACATACTTTTTCCAAAATAAGGTCCCATGGAAGTCCCCCAGAAGGGGAGGGACTTCGCCACTCTATGGCTCTGCTGTTCAAACACATGCTTTCATAACTTTGTCACAGCTCAATTTGAAATGTTCCCTAACACTTTATAGGCAAAAAAACAACTGTCCTGAACTTGATGTCCCTTCTTCCTTCCAAATCACAACAGCTCTCCAATATCTAAATAATGTGTCTTGTGCTGGAAACCCTATTAAAAAAAGGAACATCCACCAGGCTGTAAAACAGTTTGTCTAATTTAACAAGATGGGATTTTGGAGAGAAAACAGTTATACATTCATTTGTATCTTAAGAACTCTTCGGTTTTTACTGCACTACAGAAACAGTCCAAAGCAAGAACATGTTTCCCTTGCTTAATGCTTCCATGTTGGTGTATCTACCTCTTCTGCTGCAGAGGGAATGAAAGCACAGGGCAGGCCACATGGTGAGGATGCTGCAAAGCAATCAGGCCATTGGCTCACATGTGACAGTCATGGCTAATGGGATTTGCAAGGTTCAATAAACAGAGGTGGGTGGGAGTGTGGGGATGCGTTATGGTATATAATGGCTGTGCATTTATGGTGTTTTGACATCAGCCATACGCTCATAAATCACAAAGGGCTAGTATAAACAAAAGTACCACCATGGAGGAGAGAGCATCCTCTGCTGGGCTGCATGCTGTGTAGAATTTTGTTTTAACAATGCATATTTAAAAGGAGCCACGCAATCAAGACTAGTCATGGAGAGCATGACTCAGCCTGTGAATAAGCTCTACAGTATAATGTGTTTAGTTAAAATATGTTGACGTTGATCAGACAGAGAGAGTCCAATGAAAGCTAATGTAACTGCATCATGGGAAATGTTGGATTCTTAATGGCTTGAAGGTTAACCCTTGTAGACAGTAGGAATTTCCTAATTTTGGAAAAAGGTCTTTATTTTTCTCATACTGCCTGTGCTGCAGCACCTCTTTTCACCCTCTGTCTGAAACCAGAGCCCAGTCTGCTCTGTTTGGTTAGCTGGCACGCTCTGTTGTGATTGATTAACTGCTTAGAGATGTCCCACCCCTTATAACGTTCAAATTGTTGGAGTGCTACCCAGTAGAATCACAAGTGTTACATAGTTACTTTATTACAGAAGTAAACAAAGAAGTCGAGAAGAGGCGTTACATGCAGGGGGGGAGAGAAACTGCCTCTAGAGGGAACTTTAGGATTTGAGCCTTTGCAGACCATTGACATGCACATAAACCGATATAAACACAGTACAGGAAATGGAAAACACCAAAAAGCATAATAGGGACTCTTTAAACCACATTTAAAGTAAAGTTCTAAAGTTGTTTTTTCTTGGTTGACATGGCCTAAAAACAAATGTCATGGAACTCTAGTTCTTCTTCATTCTGCACCTCACAACATCAGCGATGAAACAATTAAGTTTTCTGTTTACCTCCTTCTAGATTAATCATCCACTGGAGAGGACATTAGCGTAACTGTCTAGAAATGAAATCTTCTTTTCACGAGTCAAACACAACAGCACCCTTTCATGCATTCAAAACACATCATAACTGGTACAAATGAGTGATAAAAGTCTTCTTTTAGAGCGAGGGAGTTTTTTCAGGGAACTGACAGAAATCTTAATGGCATGGTTTATTTTGTTTCACAGCCAGCATGTGGCCAGCCTGAGTTCTCACACAGTCCCCACGCACTGTTTGCTCCCATGGGGCACCACCCTTCATTTTGTTGCATTTTTACACTTCTGTTATCCAAAAGTGTGTATAAAAGAACATTTTGAAAACTGTAACCGAATAAGAAAGACTCTTGATGTTAAGTGACTGTGGGTAGGGGTAGAAAGTTAAGCAAGTTAAGCAAGTACTTTTTGTTGTGGTCTAGTTGCATTGTGGGTAGTGTGTAGGCATCTTACATGGTACAATTTGAATAATGTGTGGAATAAGAACAATTATTTGTGATTCTGCTAAATTAATTAAGATATATATTTTTGTATTATTAAAGCTGCATGCAATTGTATTGTTTAGGTCTTTTGAGACAGCTGAACACACAACACCTGAAATATTATCATGACTGCATTACAAATGGCTAATTTACCTTTCACATTTTCAAAAAGTTTTATTCACACACAATAACAATATATAGGTTTTTGTCCCTTCCGTGATCCCAAAGCTTTTGTTGACCTACTCTTTTAGTTAACTTTCCAACCGTTAGTTTGACCCGAGTTTACTAAATGCTAAACCTGTGCACGACCATTTTGCTTTTACTCTTTCTGACGTCTCAGTCCTGAATATCCCCTGGCTTTTTTTTCTCTCCCTGTAGGCACCAGTCTACTTCAGGAGATTGTGTATCTTGTGAGTCAGGGAGCAGACCCAGATGAGATTGGCCTTATGAACATCGATGAACAGCTTCCTGTCTTGGAGTACCCCCAACCTGGCCTGGACATTATACAGGTAATGTAGCCGAAAACAGGTTAGCATTCATAATTAGACTTTGGCTTTTTTCTGGTATGCCTTTTGCCGGGTGTAGGAGTATACAACAAAGTTGTTTAGATATGAAAAAAGAGAAGATGCTGGTCTTAATAACTCCAGCCCAATCAAAACAAGGCTAATCTTGCTTGCAATCACAAGGCTGGTCTGTCCAGACAGAAAGACAACACGCCCTGGTTCATTTATATATTTTGTTTTCTGAGAAGCTAGTGTTAATCCACAAGTTCTCCATCTCACATCAATTGTCTTTAAACTCTTTACCAGCCATCAGCCATTGCCCAGGATTTTATGTTTCATAGGAATGAAAAGCTGTTAACATCCAACTAATCACAACCCCCATTTTTTACTAAATGGTAAATGGACTGTACTTATATAGCGCTTTATCCAGTCTTTAAGACCCCTCAAAGCGCTTTACATACTACATGTCATTCACCCATTCACACCCATTCATAAAGAGCAGTGTACCTTACTCTAGGACCTAACATTCACACACATTCACACACCGTTGGCCATGCCATCGGGAGCAACTCAGGGTTAAGTATCTTGCCCAAGGATACATCGACATGTTGACTGCATGGGCTGGGATCGAACCCACAACCTTCTGGTTGAAAGACGACCGCACTCCCTCGCAGCCACAGTCGCCCCTGATACTATATGAAAAAGGTCATATGACTCACGATGGGCACTGTGAAAACGGTTGTTGATGTCTTATGAGGCTCCGCACAGAGTCTGAAAAACAAATCCCTGATGATGTCATTTCAGCTTGTTCATAACATGTTGGAAACAGCATGCCAGAAGGAGTCAGGAAGTGTAGGACCCTGTTTGTCATTGTAAAATGTGATTCATGGGGATTACTTGGACTCTGACTAATGAACGCGTTCAAAATTACTATAAAAACGGGTGGATGGAAATTAAGGGCTTGTACTTATCAGCAAGATGTCTTTCAAAGGAATACATTCCCTTCTATTGCTCAACCTGTTTCACATCACTTACTGAACAGAGACAGTGATAGCATCATGGCTAACTAGAACTTCAACATTGACTGCTACTGTATAAGACAATGTATGACATTTTCCAAGAAACAGAGCTTGGGATCTGACTTTTTGAGCCAATAAGACTGGATAAAAGAATACAGATTAAAGTAATACCTTTCTTTGTGTCCCCACAGGAGCTGACCTCTCCTCGTCTGATTAAAAGCCATCTTCCCTATAGGTTCCTCCCCACAGCCATGCACAACGGAGAGGCCAAGGTCAGTCCTCCGATAATGGACCGCAAATATGCAATAATAAATTTTCACTGCATTTATTTAGAAGTTTTCAGATTTGGGAGCTTCACATGAGTTCAGGACCCGGTACTATACTGTACATGAAGATTAGGGGAGAAAAAGTTAACAAAACATTGAAATTAGAAAGCTTTATTTGTTCGATACCGAGTGTTGTATTTCCCCAAAACATTAGTAACCAATACTACATGTTGGTTTCATATAGTTTCATAAATATACAAATCAAGTAAGAAAAGTTGGACAGTTATACTTTTGAGTGTATAATACAATATAAAGTAATTTTAATATCCCAGAGTAAAATCTATTATTAAACTAATTGCAAATAAATAATAAAATAGATCAAAAATAAAAGTATAATCCAATGTTGTTATCATTGTTTGTACTATCAAATAAAAAGGCAAAAAAATAAAAATGAAATACATAAATACGATATTATGTATATGTATCAAATACAAATATTTAACACTTTCGGTTTCTGGAAAATAATTACAATAATTAACCAGTCAAACAGGATAATATGAAAAACAATTGCATTTTCACTCAATCAAAAGGTTAAAGAATAAATATATTTAAAAAAAATCTAGTCTCTCATGTGCAGTCTTTCAAAGATGACACTCCATCAGCTCCAATAACCACATTTTATTGGACTGTTCTCCAACCTCAGCATTACCTGGGACTGATATCTTGTATCTGACTGTAGCGAGTGCCGTGGTTCTTCTCCTCCAGGTGATCTACATGGCTCGTAACCCTAAGGACCTGGTGGTGTCCTACTACCAGTTCCACCGCAGCCTCAGGACCATGAGCTACCGGGGAACCTTCCAGGAGTTCTGCCGCCGCTTCATGCATGACAAGCGTGAGTATGCAGGATTCTAGAGGACTGAACCATCTCGGTGATTTCCTTTAGTGTTTGTCTACGGAGTTCATCCATCTGTGTGTGTGTCTCTCTTCTCACAGTGGGATACGGTTCCTGGTTTGATCACGTTCAGGAATTTTGGGAGCATCGCATGGACTCCAATGTCCTCTTCTTAAAGTATGAAGACATGTACAAGGTAACATCCTCATTCTCGTTTTGGGGTTTGTCTGTGAGCTCTTATTTTGACATTATTTCACTTAAAGTCATTACCCTGTCAATCTCAAAACCGGCTTTTGGTCTGGGGACAATAAGACTGTGTGCAAGGGGGCAATATTTTTGGGGTATCAGGTCTAGCTAACGGCTAACGTCTGTTTGTCTTTTGTTTACAAAATGATTGGTCAATACTTGAAATATACGGTCTATGGTCAATACTACTCAATTTGAAATCGATACTAACATCTTGTCTTGATGCTAACAATAGAGACCATCATCCAGTATTGTGGTCTTTGTAAGGATTTGAGTCCACTGAATGTAAAGAGTAATTAATATAGAAAGTGGGTCAGTAAACAATTCCAGTGGAGCTGCTGTACTGTGCAGCTCTTGTGGGGGAAGTTACATTTAATCTATATTTAGACATTAAAGGGACTTTCCGAACATGCAAGCTCTTTGGCAGAGAGATAAACAGAGAATAAAATACCCTACAGTAGGAAAAACAAATGGCAAGCTTTAGCCCAATACGCAAAATCCTAAATTGTCAAAATCCTGTCACTGTTTAATCTGAGTTGTATTAAATATTTTAACCCTATTAAGCCATCAGGTTTTTTACACTCCATCAAAAAAAAATGACGTGTTTGTGGAAAACACCCAAAACTGGTATCTCTTATTTATCTCACAATCTGTACAATGTAAAGAAGGTAAAGAACATTTATATTTGTCATTATCATACCGGAATCAACAAATTTTTTTACCCAATTCAAACCCTGTCCCCATCATTTTTCAAGAAGCTTACTTATTTTCACACAACATGGCAGACACTATCTGTCTTTGTAGGGACACGTTCTTGTATTAAACTCAAAGAAAAGTAACAAACTACACCAAATCAATATTTGCCCTTTGCTTTACCAAAGGTCCCTTTGTACAGTATCTGGTTTATCCCTTTTACGAGATAAACTCAAACATGTCCTTTGTTTTGCAGATAGGCTTTAGATTTCTAAGAACTGAAAGCAGAATGCAAGTGATCTAAAACTGCTTTTAGGGTAATAACTTACATTCCATCTTTTGGTAGTTTTGTAAATTAAGTTTCCACATAGTCTTTCATGACAACTCATTATAGAGAGAAGGAAAGTGTACCATAACTTGTGAAACAGCTTCAGTGACCTCTGAACCTGCCTTGAACAAACACATGAATGTGCAGGCCAAAACAACCCAGGGCTGTCTAGTAACCCTATAGGTTCGGTTCAACCGCTACTCGATGATGTATTGTCCTTACAGAGCAGTACATTTTGTCCATTTGGCTCATCTACAGTCTGTGTTCCTCACCTTTATGCTACATAGATTGTGTACACTTAGAGCAGTGGTTCCCAACCTTTTTTCCCAAGAGCCCCCCCCCACACACACACACACACACACACACACACACACACACACACACACACACACACACACACACACACACACACACACACACACACACANGGGGGGGGGCGCCAACAGCGGTAATTAAAGTTTTAAAGTCTCAAAATGCTACAACTACTGTCACAAACTGGATGAATGTGAAGTATTTTGTTAAAGGAGGATGAAAGCGTAATTCAGGAGCACTATTGGAGTGACTTTGATGGTTATTGGACTCAGGAAGAATTCATTTGGATTCCCGCTGTATGAAGAAATTAAAGGACGGCTTAAGATAAGCCCTGTTTGGACACTTTACTGGCAGAAGCAACATTTCTATTAAAGAAAGAATTATACATTTCTGTCTTGTTATGCCTATAATAACTACTGACTTGAATTTGTATTCAAATGAATTAATCAATTATTTTTTATATTTTATTGTAATGTATAGACAAGGCTTTTAGTGACAATCATGTATTGCGTGACAATTATATGTAAAAAAAAGAAAAGAAAAGTCTAAGTATGATATTTAGCCTCAAATCATCTGAGGCCTGGCGCCCCCCCTGCGATCTTTGGCGTCCCCCCCCTCCCCCCAGGTTGGGAACCACTGGCTTAGAGGAACTGTGTGTTCTCCACAGTTGTGGGCGGAGGTTATTTGAGGAAACAGAATCACTGCCTTGGTGTTATTTGAAAATTTAAGACAGAGGCAGTTTCCCTTTGTCCCCTTTACTTAAGTAACACAAAGGATGGCCATTAAAATATACTTAAAGCACCAAAAGTGAAAGTACTGGTTATGGTGTATATCAGAATGATTTATTTAAAAAAGGACTCTATTATGATTATTGACACATGAATCTGTCTATCACAGGTAGGAGAAGCTGATTCTAAAGAATGTATAAACTGCTGCTGGATATCTTAACCTACAGTACCTAAATAATGATAAATCATAGTTTATTGTAGTAACTAAGAATCTGCTAAAATAACTAAAGCTGTCAGATACATTTTGTAGAGTAATTGCAATTTTAGCTTCCAAAGTTTAGTGAAATAGAAGTGTAAAATAGCAGGAAATGGTTTTACTTAAAAAGGTAGTATAGTAAATGTACTTTATTAGATTTGGAACCACCAACCTCTCCTCTCATGTCCTCTCCTCTCCTCTCATGTCCTCTCCTCTCCTCTCATGTCCTAACCTCTCCTCTCCTCTCCTCTCATGTCCTAACCTCTCATGTCCTAACCTCTCCTCTCCCCTCCAGGATCTGGGCACGCTGGTGCAACAGTTAGCTCAGTTCCTGGGTGTTTCCTGTGACAAGGCTCAGCTGGAGGGCATGGTGGAGAGCTGCAACCAGCTCATCGAGCAGTGCAGCAACTCCGAGGCGTTGTCCATCTGCAGGGGTGAGTGGGAGAGGAAAACCGTTTGGATTTTCTGTCTCTGAGGTCTTGGTAAAAGGGCTTTTTATTTAGGCCTCAAAGGAGAAGCATTAAATCCACCAAATGTATCTTCAAACCATTTGTATTACACTTTCATTGCATCTGACATTCAGGTCCTTCAGTTTATGATATTACAGTTGTTGTCCCATAAGGTTGCTGATAGAATTGCGTTATCCGAATTTCACGTAAATCATCAAAACTGCATTTTGCTATCGGATTTAGCCAGTTAGCTCCTTAGCTAACGCAAAAACAATTCCTACACACCACGGTCATGAGAAGCGAAATAATAAACTTGAACTACTGGGGAAAATGTTACTATGAAATGAAAAAGGACACTCAAATGTCTATAATGAAATACAAATAATGTCCAACTAAATCCCAAACCATTATTTATACATGCAATTAATCATGTTGTGTTTAAGTCCTTTTTATAACGTATTGAACATAATTATCTAAGTAGGTCATGGGATCTTCAAGTTGTGTACATTGATACAAGGGCTTTCTTATGCTCAGTTGAGATGATTATAGAATCACCTTGTGGACACAGTTTGCACTTACACCATATATTGCAATTCAGCTTTAGACTGTAAAGTAATTTCAACCTGTAGGTCCAATCCACTTTCATTTAACCATCTTTGACTTCCATGAAGACATCTTTATGTTTGTTCCCTAATTTTCATAAATAGTCATTTTTATTTTATGTTACCATTCCTATTTAGATTTTCACGTTTGCTTATGATTTCTGTTGTTTTGTTTTATTTCAGTTTTCCCATCTAATTCCTTTTCTTTTAGTGCATGGAAATCTGGTGTCTGGTGTTCTGTAGGCTGAACACACAGCTGCCAGGTGTCAGTCTGATCTGTCACACACACACACCTCAGCAGGTGAGTCAGAGCCACGGCGGGCTGCGTTCACTGCAGCTGAAAGTGCCCGATGAATCATCAGACATCACGTGGGTTTTAAATAATTCATCATGAAGAATCATGTCCCCATAACTTCTGAGGATGGCTTCAGGAAGACTGTGCTGGTAATGAAGGAAAACTAAAAGCCCTGCCCCCTTATTTTAGATTTACTTATGGCAATGGAACAGGAAATTAGGAATGGACTCAATCCATCCACTGAATGTTGAAAGTAGTTAAAATACAACTCATTGTATATAATATGTCATAGGTCATCTAAAACGCATTTAGATTTGCTTTAAATTGAAGGGTTTTGTCAAAATGTTTATTTAAGTGCATAAACGGTTAAGAAGAAGCATTGGTGGAAACTTAGTTCAGTCAGACAACTCACATATTTCTTAATATGTTTATTAGAAGCAGCAGCATATAGTTTGAGTTTGGCGTCTAGGCTCGGGCCTCATCACTCCACAGATTTACAAAGAACATTGAGTGATGATTAGATAACTATCCCCCGAGCCTACAGGTGGAAGCTGGGGTGGAAGCTTGGGTGGAAGCTGGGGTGGTGGTGGGGCAGGTGAGCAGCAGCAACATGAAACACAGCAGCAGGAACATGAACACAGTAATAGCAAGTGAACACAGCAGGCAGCAGCAGCATAGCGAGGCGGAGGCAGGAAGACCTGGCAGCTTAAATAGAGCGGCACATTTAGGAGAAAGTGTTTGGTTGGTTGTAAGAGGGACGAGGTGCGTCACATGTTAATGTGTGATTGGTGCTCGAGTTGACTGCCTGAACTAGCTCGCAGGCTTCGCCCCATTAGTGGCGGGCATCAGCAAATGAATCTGTTCATGCCCTTTCAACTGGGAAAATATGGTGTATTGATTGTGTTCACTCGTTAATTCATAACAATTAACAATTAATTGGTATACGTAAAAGTAAACAAAGAATAGAATGACATCTCCATCTGTATATGATAGTGAGGTATCTTTGAAAATGTAAGATTAGGGGTGCGCAAAAAAAATCGATTCGCTTAAGAATTGCGATTCTATCTCTGCCGATTCGGAATCAATTCAGAAATTCCAAGAATCGGTTCACATTTTTCAGTCTTGCCGCAACTCAGCTTTCCATTTTTTATACGGCGTGAGCTCCGTAATGTCCCGCTACCACAGGTATTAGTATTAAGGGCATCTAGGAAGGTTATTCATCCATTAAGGGCTATATTGAATGGTTTGAGCTTCATTCATAAAGTTGATATTAACATTTAAAAAAAACATTTGAATGCCTCATGAACGCCCCACGTCTTACTAATATATAAACCTCTGTCCTCTCTCTGTGTCTCCTGCCTGCAGGTCGTGCAGGTCTGTGGAAAGACGTATTCACAGTGTCTATGAATGAGAAGTTTGACACGGTGTACAGACAGAAGATGGGCAAGTCCGACCTGACCTTTGACTTCTGCATGTGAGCAGCACCTGACCCTCCACTCCACTGATCTACTCCAGTCCAATCGACCAAACCCACGATCCTATATCTCCGTAAAGTGAGATATTTAAGGGTACAGTGTGACAGCAGGATTACATTACAAGACTTTTCCCTTAATGCAATCTGTCTCAGTGAGTAAGTCTCGAAAAATCACACCCTTGTGGACTGGTCAACAGAACTTAGTTGACATTTCTCCATCAATAGTTAAACCAAACCTCCCTCAACCCCTACCTCCTGTGTATATGTGTACATATTAACCAGGGTTCGACCGATATAGGTTTTTGAAGGCAGATGCCAATACTTTCAACCTCAAGTATTGGTCAACATTTCTATTCAAATTCTCCAACATAGTCCATAAAAGGAATTCAAGCTACATGCAGATATTTGTGACTGAATTACATGGAAACGGCAATATGCCAGTACTGCCATTCAATGTTCTCATGCAATGGTAGTCTTGCTGTGATAGTTATCTATTTTTCACTAGTTCATAAAGAACTGGGTACGCAAAAAAATAAAATTGGATTTGTTTCCCACTTACATATAAAGGCAAAAGTATTTGCAACTTCGAAAGGCAGGAAAAAGTGTCTGGTTTCATAGGGAGGTACGAAAGTTGTTCAAATGGGGATAAAGGCCTCAGTTAGTCTGTAAGAACACCAGCATGTAAGCGGAAACCAATTGGATTCTTGTGCTGATCAGAAGGACATCATCACGTATTTTGCGTAAGTGCTAAGGCTCTGCTAATTGTTGGGGAACTACGTTGTGAAATTCTTATTTTTTGTAAATAGGAGGAAATATGCGCCAGCTGCATGCAGGTCTATGAATTCAACTACACTTTAAAGCAAATAATTATAATTAAATAGTAAAAGGATGAATTCATGTAAACAAGTCTTAGAATTTCTTTTAAATGGCAATTTTTTTCAATGCTTTAATAGCAGTAGATCAACATTCCAGATTTCCAGAGTACTGGAACAAACAACTCGTGAGCCTTAACAACTTTAGGAATTTATGTAGCTTGCGTGCCATCAGTGGAGGGCTTTAGGCTGCCCTAGTTCACCCTCTGGAAACATCAATAGAGGTCTGACTGCCTGTTAGAGATCAAACATCAGTCGGACTACTTATTTGCAGTGTTGATCAGCCACAAATATCTATAGGTAGACTCAGGGATTCTCTCCGATGTTTCTGGTTGTCATGTGGACAAACCCTCTGAAACATTTAACTCATCTTGAGACAGTAAACCCCTCCAAAGGCTAATGAAACCATTGTATTAGAGCTCAGCTGCTTTATAGGTCAGGCCACACATAAACACCTATTGGTGAGGAAACCAGAAGACAATACTGCTTGTAAGTATGGAACTAACCTTCCTAGGCGACACCCACAATGGCTGAATATGAGCCATCTACGGCCACCAGCAGGGGCGGACTGGCCATCGGGACGTTCAGGACGAATCCCGATGGCCCGGTACTGAAGTGGGCCGGTCGGAGAAGTCACTAGCACCCCCCTCCCCCTCCCCCGTTGACAACCTATTTTGACTTTAATCAACTGCAGACAACAGACAACACTGTAATCTGTTAATCCCACATATCGGTCTGACCCTGACACTGAGTGCATTAGCAGTTCTCTCGTTGCAAAAGTTGCTCTTGCTCCAAGTCAGGTAGAAGAATGGAAGGTAACTGTAAGAAATGAAGCCAAACTTATAAAAGAAGAAGCCTATCACGCCTAGCAATCGGTTCAGCAGCCCAGTGTCACACAGCTGGGAGATTTTTGTGTTAAATGATCCATGTTTTTTTTCCCCTCAAAGTGCTGGAGGGTTTTTCAGCCTTCATCGCAGATTGTCAGTTATTTCTGAACTTTACGTGTGTATGGATGATTGCGAGTGTGTGTTTGAGAAAGAAAGAGGGAGGGAGGGAAATGGAGAGGGTTCAGTCGTGTCAGTGCTCAGTTAAGCTCAGCTATTTATGCTGATTTAGATGTTAAATTCAAGGATTTGTCTGATCTTTAAAACCAAGTTATGTAGCATTGGCGCCTCTCAGTGGTTGTTAAAAAATACAATGGTAGGATATACCACTGAATTTAATGGGCTGAAAGCAAGAAAGAAATCACAAATGGGAATATAATTTTTTCTAAAACAAAAGATTATGAATAATAAGATTGCCTAATGGAGTTACATACAAGTTATACAATTAATGTCTTAAGTCGAACACTTCACTCTCCAATACTTTGCTGGTAATTTAAACTGGCATTTTGGGTACAAACATGATTATTTTCAAATGCAAACTGTTGCACGTTTTTTCCTTAAGATCATGAACGGTGGTTCAAATGAGCAGTTGCGGCCTGGTTGGAGAAGCAGCTGTGCCAAACACGGAAAATAATATCTAGCCTAATGTCTCCAAGGTATAAAGACATATTTTACACCCTCGCCTTAATATTTAAGGTCAGTGTGGATGGATTCTAGGAGGGGCCTTGAAATTATTGTTTTTTAAAAAAAATGTAATTTGTTTGCATATCCAGAGAGTCTTAGAACTACATATACCCACATACATGAACGAAGAAGTAAAGGAAAGCCTGTGAAGGAACGGTAGAAAGCTGAACATAAAACTCAAGGCAACATAAGCAGGATAACATTCAATAAACTAGAAGTGTACTTGGAGAGCGCAGACCTCCGGCAAGGTCGTTTTTGCACCATGATACAGATCTATTTATGAAAAAGTAATCTGAATGTTTTCATTACATTACATTACATTGCATTTAGCTGACGCTTTTATCCAAAGCGATTTACAATAAGTGCGTTCGACCAACAAAATACAAACTTGAAGAAAACAGAATCATATAAGTAGGCCTACATCAGGTGTCATAGAGTTTTCCCTACAGACAACCAAACAAACAAACCAACAATAAACATAACCTCCTTGGCTGAGGTACCACTATTTTAATATACCTTGGTTTACACTTAGCCACATATTCGCACCTCTGTAAGATGACCTGTCACTTAGCACAAGAAGAACATCAGCTAACTTTGGTGTAATCAGTGCTTCATCTGCCGTGAACATGGGAAAGTAGGCTCTTTAAATAGGGAGTTACACTTGGGAAAAATTATTAATTAAAACATCTCACACCACCTCCAAAGGAAGCCTGGCAGATCGATGTCAGTACATCTTTTGGGCATCAGATATGATACACCCAACACTCATAAAGTGAATAACTAATATTGTTTATTTGGGGCTGTGGAAAGTTTGGTAATCGGAAAATCCTATTCCTGTGTGAACCATGCTACATACTGTATCCCACTGAGGGGTTGAATAGTTGCCTCTTTCTCTCTGTTTTCTCACAAATGTCAGGTTTTGGTAGCAGGAAAGAAGAGCAGAGTATTAGCCCATAACCAGCATTACACTATGTTTTGTATTCTGCAACTTGACAGCATCAATATTAGACTCTTCAACCCGAGGCATCACTTAAAGCCAGTCCATCTCCCTGTGCTCCGGACACTTGTGAATGTCTTTATTGTGTTGGTGTAAACGACAACCTCAGCACACACTCGTCACGCCGCCTCATTTACGGCTGCTCATTCTTTCCCTTTCATTGTTCTTCCTTCTTCTCTGTCACTGTTTACAGCCATTGGCAAGGCTTCAGCTGCCCATCTCCACTTTAATGGTTTGTTTGGGATTTTATACATGCCTTTCTCTGTTTCCTGGGCGTTGTATTTTACATTCTTTGCTTGCTGTTTTATTAATAAAGTTGTGTCTTCAGGCAATACTGGATGACTCTGGTCTCCTTCCTTTATCGCTTTAGTGTCTACATTCTTGTTCTCAACATCTGTCTGACCCAGAAATGTGTTGTTGAAGTGAGAAATACACAAATTAAGAGTGAATGGAATATAGATTGTTACTTTACAGGACTATATGATTATATTATATAACAAACCCAGGGGCTGTGCTGCTACAGCCTGTGTCTGGTAAAAAATAACCTATGTTGGCTAATTTTAGCTTATGTTAGCAAACTTTAGTTCTATCTATAGATGACCTTTTAAGTGAGTAAGTGACACTGCTGATTGATCACTCCACTATAAGAGAGCTGCTGCTACACTATGATGGAGCATTTAGCCTACCATTATTTAATAATATCACCCATTGCCACAGTGGAAGCTGTGAAAAAGTTACATGGACTATGCAAATATACGTTAGCACAAGCCATGCATTCAAAAACAGATATGGCCACATTGGGGCATCAGAATCATAGTATTGAGATATAAGCACTGTACTTGCTATATAAACTCCCCTTAGCAAACAAAACATTAAACCCTAACATTGATTGGTTGTTGGTCGAGTTTCAGACACGCCCGCCGGCAAGCTTCAACGCACGCCGCTGTGTTGACAGGCCGTCCACTCCTCACCGCCACGTGTGACCACTGCAGTGGGCGTGTCTGAAACTCGACCAACAACCAATCACATGAATCTCATGCCCCGGACACAAGCACGGGGTTTGATTGGCTAGAGCTTGTACTGGCATATCATTTGATTGGCTGACGCTTCCATCGAAGCTTCAAAAGAAGAACATTGCTCTACTTTTGACAATAGAGAGGCGAAGTCCCTCCCCTTCCGGTGGGACTCATGGGACCTTATTTCGGGAAAAAGTTTGTATTGAAGTCAATGGAGAGAGAAAGATTATCTTTCGATCCCGTTTGAATTGTGCCACGAATTACACATATGATGCTTGTCAATCTTAAAAAATAATTTCCATGTCAAAAAAGTCACAGTTTGTCGTAAAAATGTTGAAATAAAAGACTATGAAAAATACGCGAAAGACTACAAATGCCAGAATCCCGGTCCCGCATGCTGGCTCTTACGGAACCGACTAACTCCCCTTGTGTGTATGTACAGCTCTCAACATGCCCAGACTTGTTGTGATTGTAACCTCTTTTAATAGAGGTTACAATCACAACAAGTCTGGGCATGTTGAGAGCTGTACATACACACAAGGGGAGTTAGTCGGTTCCGTAAGAGCCAGCATGCGGGACCGGGATTCTGGCATTTGTAGTCTTTCGCGTATTTTTCATAGTCTTTTATTTCAACATTTTTACGACAAACTGTGACTTTTTTGACATGGAAATTATTTTTTAAGATTGACAAGCATCATATGTGTAATTCGTGGCACAATTCAAACGGGATCGAAAGATAATCTTTCTCTCTCCATTGACTTCAATACAAACTTTTTCCCGAAATAAGGTCCCATGAGTCCCACCGGAAGGGGAGGGACTTCGCCTCTCTATTGTCAAAAGTAGAGCAATGTTCTTCTTTTGAAGCTTCGATGGAAGCGTCAGCCAATCAAATGATATGCCAGTACAAGCTCTAGCCAATCAAACCCCGTGCTTGTGTCCGGGGCATGAGATTCATGTGATTGGTTGTTGGTCGAGTTTCAGACACGCCCACTGCAGTGGTCACACGTGGCGGTGAGGAGTGGACGGCCTGTCAACACAGCGGCGTGCGTTGAAGCTTGCCGGCGGGCGTGTCTGAAACTCGACCAACAACCAATATGTCTATATAACGATAGGCCTACCAATGGGTGTTTATACAGAAAGTCCATGGGATCTCAATACTATAATTCTGAATGCTCAATCTGATGCCCTGTTATTTTCATGCTTGTGAACGTTGGACAAGACCAGAAACCTGTTCTACATGACCAAAGTAGTAATTGAAATAAAATAAAGGAAAGTCAAATGTATGATCGTCAACCCTCTATCATAGGTGTAGCACATTAATACAATAATCACAAAGTATGTATAGATTAGTATGAAAATCTGTAAAATCAAGCATATGATATTTATTACTAAACGTCAGTCCTTAAACACATCACGGGACACATTTTGACATTCTGCACAGCAGTTGCAGAACTCCGTCCAGGGAAGGCCAACAGAGAGGCACTGGCACTTTCCACTCTCTCCACACTTTGCATCTTTGCAATATAAGTGAGTAATGTCTCTCACTTCTGTAGGTGCTGGGGGTTTTGTAAGTAGCACTGGTTGAATGGCCCCATCTCTGACAATCCACCCCCTGCCAACAGGACTCCATAACAAGGGTTTGGGTTCGGGCTGTGACACCATATCGCTGTCTGAAACATTGCTCTTTGTACATGTTGTTGAAATGCATCCTCTGTTGGCGGCAGATTTTCCGAGGCTGCATCTGTTGTTGATGCAATTATGAACCTCAGTTCATCCAAGTCTGTGCACATCAGTCCAATTTCCTTTTTCTCTTTTCCATTGTAGCAGAAGGTCCACAAATGATCTTGCGACTTGCAAAGACTCTTCCAAGCTGGCAGAGAGTCCAAAATGGGCCTCCGTAGTAGAGTGGCGAAGTCCCTCCCATGAAACCGCTCAATGAACTACATCTCCCGTCTCGCACCACACACCAAGACGGCTGTCACGTTGGCACATTTCACTTCTTTCTTTCAGAATGAGGCGAAAAGTATTAAAAGAGGTTACAATCACAACAGTCGTGCGCATGTTGAGAAACCTGTACCTCCAAAAAGGGGAGTTAGTCAGTTCAGCTGCGGGACATGAAGTATAGTACTGATCCTCTTTGCAATCACATTAGTATGCATACAAGAGTGACAGGTGCTGTGACAGGTTACACCTGCTACTACTATAAGAGTTGCGGGTGCCGGAACTGCTAATACTTATGCTAAACGATCCCCTGTTGTATGCTAATGACCCGCCATATGACCCCTGTTCGAGGGTGGTTATCTATAATGACCCATATTGACCCAGCTGTTCGAGGTGTTATCCTATACAATGACCCCCCACTGTCGAGGGTGTTATCTACTAATGACCCCACTGTCGAGGTGTAGAAACATGGGGGGGCCGGGATCTGATTATGCCCCACGTAGTCTATTACTGTTGCAATCGAATTAGCCTTTGATGTCAATGTATTAAGATTAAGACTGTGACTCTAAGAAGGCAAGTTTGCGAATTTTAACACTATATTTACTGGCCTAGCTAGGATTTTTGGCTTTTTTCTCTGATTCTTGTGTTACTAACTGATACCTTTTAGATACCTTTGATGTATGCCAACACTTAACAACTGGGTAACGAATATGAAGTACGTTTGTAAGGAATTTGGTCTTCTTTTAATGGGCCTAGGCAATTTTCTTTAAATTCTCCTAGGTTACTTCCTGTAGTTTGGGACACCACCGTCACAAAATCATACTGAGTGTTTGTCAATATAAGAAATGCAATGTGTAACATGGTATTTGAACGGTAATGAGGCCCACAGTCAATCAAAGACCTGGAGAGGCAAAGGACAGGTGCACAAGGATGGAAGGAATGTTATCACTGGCCAAAACAAACTGTCCAACTACAGGAAGGTACTTGAGGAAGAGTGGAAAACCAAGGACTGCACTGTGCATGTTTGTGAGCAACTACATTGTCACTGCTGACCCACAGAGGGACTACACTCATTCGATTCTGGCCGAAAGGGGAGGAGGTGAAGAGCATCTGCCCAACAGCAGGAGTCAGCAGTTTGACATCACTGTACAGTGATCAGGAGGAGACAGACACAAAGATGGAGCTCCATGCCATCCATCTTGCAGAGTCATTTCCCGCATCATTGTGAGGTCTGATCACACAGGTGTGGAAGTACTGCTCATATATTATGGAAGCACAATACATGTTTGTTCCTCTCTGTGTACAATGCAGCAGGCCATGGAATGAAGAGAGCATCTGTCCCCATTAACACCACATGTGGAGAAATTGGTAAAAGACAGTCTAACTGTTATACCAGCATGTTGTGGCACTCCACTGGCTGTGGCACAACAAGTAGTTTGTACAGAATAGGAAAGACAATCAGCATCAGCAGGTTGTTTGTGAGCCCTGACCAGAGCTGTTTCTCATGCTGTGGCGAACGGAAACTGGGATTTCTTCAAAGAGGCCGTTTAGTTGGGCAGATGGTCCTGAAGCTTGTGGTGGGCGCAACATACATTTCTAACTGATCTACCAGCAGTGTCATGCACTCACTGGCTGTGGCACACAAACCAATAGTTCTACAGAATAGAAGACAACAGACCATTCACCAAACTCAAGACCCCATCTCAGCGAGCTCAAAGTATCTGGCCCATTTTGACTCTTGTCACGTTGCTAAGAATGTGAAATTTTGTTATCAAGTGAATGTACCATTGTCCCTTTTTTTCCGAAGGTTCTCGCGGTATATAGAAGGAATTGGAAACTGTTGTTGCAAACTTGGTAGAGGAATGTGTGGTGTCAGTAATTGCATCACACAACAGGATGACTGAGTGCTCTCGGGCAGGATCGGCCGTTATTGCAAGAGGATTGTCAGATTTCAGCCTAAATTGTAAAGAGCACGGCTTCTCAAGACCGCGATTATGGTCGTCCAGCTCTCACCAGACCCAACCTTTGTATATGGGGTGTAGTTTATCGCGTTGTGTTGTTGAAGGGCGTAGGAGTGTCAGAGATGGGGCCGTTCAACCAGTGCTATTTACAAAAACCCTTGCACCGGTTATCTGTTACGTGAGGAGACGAGTTATTACCTTGCGCATATGCAAAGATGGCCGCAAAGTGTGGAGCTGACAGTGTGATATATGCCTCAAGAGTCTCGTGATACTTTTCTCTCTCATTGTACGATACCTGTCTGTTATAGTTTGTATGTTGAACAGTGTCCCTAACGTTCTGAGGAGTTCCTGAAAATTGTAGGAGCAATTCCTTTTTATGTCGCTATTATCTAGGCATGATCGTCCTGATACATAGA